CTTTGGTGAGTATTGTTAGCTTATATTAATTTTTTCAAATTTTTCGGTCGTTAATTTAACGATTTTCGTCTCGAACGACGCAGCGTCGTAACGACTTCCTGTCGAACGAAATCGTTGGAAGTTGATGGGTCTCCTGGAGTTGGTGGCCTCAAATATTGTTTCGCGAATCGTTCGACTGACCAGTGACTTCGTGCTATTGTGGATCTTCAAGTTTTTTAAAGGAAAACTCCAACAAGTGAAAAGTGAGTTTAAAAAAAAATAATTTCCTTTCAGAAATAATAGTATTTTTGAAAATTTTCACAGATGGCGTTCCTGAGGATCCTGGTGTTGCTGGTCGTCGGTGCTGTGGCTGCTGGAGCGGACTGTGGTCCAGAAGATGGAGCGTTCGTGTGCCGAGACGTGTGCGGCGAAGAGGTGAGGGGCGCCGGCGGATATGGGCGCCGCGTGACGTTCGTTGGAGCGACGCTGTTCCTGGACTGCGTCAGGCAGGCGGACTTGAAGGTGAGTTTCCAGAAAGTAAAGCAATAAACTAGTATGACAGCCATCTTTGTTTGTAGGAAGTGAAGCTGCTGTCGCCGACGGTCTGCGTCGGACGTCGGTCCGAGATGGATCGAGTGGTGACGCCGTGGAGGTGGTGCGAGGAGGTCGTGCCACCCGAACCGGAGATTTCGACGGCGGCGGTTCCGCCGGTGGTTGGTGAGTTTGTTTTCAGCTTTTCCACACAGACATAAATCATCAACACAACTCACACATATAACATCATGACACATACCCAACACCTGACCAACACCAAGACACAAAAAAAAATGTTCCTTCACCTTTTTTCTAATAAAAATTTTGTATATACAGATGAGCCTCGCCCAGTGGCGCCGACGGCCAACTTGGCGGTCGTCCACGTGCCGGCGAGCAAAACGCCGTTCGTGGTTCGGGCGCCGCCCTCGACGCAGCAAAGCGTCGTAGTGGCCCAAGAGGTGCCACACGTCATCAGGGCACCGTCGTCGACGCCGGAGGTGACGGTCAACATCAAACATGGTGTTGCGCACGTCGAGGCGGACGTGGACCCGTGGACGGCCATGGTTCTGGTCTTTATGGGCCTTGGAGGTGCAGGGGCTACATCTTTGGCTGTCTTCTTGGTCTGGCTGGTCAAGTTCATAAGGAACAAGGTTAGCCAATTTTTCTTTTGTTTTAATAAAAATGATTAACAATGCTTTTTGCTTTCATGCTTGCTTTGCTTTTTTGTGCATGCCTTTTTCAAAAATAGAGAAAGAAAAGAATTCTAAAGTTGGATAAAGCTAAAGTTAAAGAATGCATAGTAGGATCTATGCCCAATATATTTTTTAATGGGCTAGATTCTGATGATGAAGAGTTTGAGGTTTTCTCTCAGAACTATGCAGATATCAGGGCTAGATCCCCAAGAGTCTCTACATTTAGACAAGGTAAACAGTTAGCATGTAAATACAAAACAACGCATGCAATAATTTTTGATGCTTTGCTTGGGGCTTTTTCTTTTGTCTTTTCTGTACAGTCATCGTACATGAGGGAGCTGGTGCGCATGCTGACGCCGGAGGATCAGCAGGATCCGGAAGCCCAACCGGTGGAAGATCTGCTGGGGCTGGAAGAGGCGGATAAGACCGTCGAAGAAGAGAAGGAGGAGAAACTGGTCCTTGAGGACAACAATCCGTTTAAAGAGATGTTGAACGCGTAAATATAAAATCGCGTCAAAAGAGAGTGCCATTTTTCGTACCCGCGTTTTGTATGGGTAAAGGCAATAAGAGAAATTGTAAAAAGAATTTCTGGCCTCTGATTCTCTTTTTTGTTTGTCTTTTCCAGCCGAATTCTTTTTCAGAAAGTGATCAGCGAATGGACAAGATTCCTGTGGAGGAGTCCATCTCTAATCTAGGATAAATTGCAGGTTTAGGAGTAGGAGATTGAATAAACCTCACAGATGCTTGAGCATCATCAGTTCTCCTGGAAGGAGAGGATCTCCTAATCCGTAAAACATAGCGAATTTTAGCATAGCATAGGTAAAATGTTTGGCCTGTAGTGAGCAGGTGGAGAAATTGTTGCTCTTTTCTCTTGGACCTGAATTTCATCTATTTCATTCTTTCTTCTTCTCATTATGGGTAGCAGACTTAGATAGGAGGATTCTGGAGGAAATGGTTTGGAGGTTTCTTTTGCTCTGATTCTAAGATTAATTAATTCTTCAGTCAATTGACTTGCTTTGTCTTGTAAAAGATTGTATGCTAATTTGATAGTTGTAGGAGAACTAGAATTTGTTTTTAGCCTGTCCTTGATGACTGTTAGAATTTTTACATTCAAGTTGTTCATCAAGGTATGAATTTTTCCAATATCTATAGAAGTTTCTATTGTCCAAAAATTGATTGGGGTACAGATAGAAAACATGTCCTCCAGAGTGATCCCAACATTCGCAGGGAAAGTTCTGAGTGGGGAAACTTTGTCGAATCTTTGACTGTTGGAAATAATTGTATGCTAATTTGATAGTTGTAGGAGAACTAGAATTTGTTTTTAGCCTGTCCTTGATGACTGTTAGAATTTTTACATTCAAGTTGTTCATCAAGGTATGGATTTTTCCAATATCTATAGAAGTTTCTATTGTCAAAAATTGATTGGGGTACAAATAGAAAACATGTCCTCCAGAGTGATCCCGACATTTGCAGGGAAAGTTCTGAGTGGGGAAACTTTGTCGAATCTTTGGCTGTTGGAAATCATTCCCTTTTCTTTCTCTTCAATCTCTTGGATCTTGATTCCAGAGGAGATGTGAAGGATCAAAAAAATTATCAGTACTTTCCACATGATCTTCTTAGGGATCTTAGTAAACTTGGGAAACACTAGACTTTTTTCCAATAGTGGGGGATTGAAAACAAGGGCTCAGAAATTAATCTGGCGGGTTGTTTTCACTACTGGGTCAGTGTTGTCTGCTTCTAGTTCTTCCACTCACAGGAGATGATTTTGGAGTGGTTTGTTGCATACTGGGTCAGTGTTGTCTGCTTCTAGTCCTTCCACTCACAGGAGATGATTTTGGAGTGGTTTGTTGCTGCTGATTTTGTTGTCGAGTTCTGGCAGCAAGTATAGAGCTGGGTGTTAAACCCTGCAGTGCTCTCGACTTCGATTTTTTCTTTGCTGATGGTCCAGCAGCAGAATGACCTGTTCTAGGTGGCGATCTGGATCTTTGTCTCGCGCCTTCAGGTGTTCTTTCCTGCAAAGTAGGACGTTGATCTCTATGAAAATAAGGTCGAGATCTATTTTCCCTTGATTGTTCTAGCTCCGTAGGATTTTCTAGATCCTCTTCTTCTGGTATCTCAGGTTGAGACTTTCTTTTCTTTAGGGATCTTCTTTCCGCTGATTGTTTTGAGCTGAACGGGAATTCTGTCCTATCCTTTGAAGTATTAGGAGTACTGACTGCTCCAGGAGGAGTATGATGTTCATTAATGGATTCAGAGAGAGAGGGAAGAGTCTCTGCTGAAGCATTAGGATTTTGGGAAGGAACATCAGGATTTAGGAATTTCCCAAATTCGTTTGTCAGATTTTTAACTCCTTGAGTAAGAGACTGTAAGAAGGAAGGTTGCTCAATGACAGTCTGCTGAGCACGAAGAGAATCGTCAGCTGCTTCTTCATGTAAAGTATTGTCAGCTGAGACGAAAAGGTCATCAGTATCAGAGAATGGAGTTGCATTAGCTTGTGTTTTAGTTGGACTAGAGGGAGAAATAGTTTGAAAATTTTCAGAATTTTTAGAGGACTGGGAAGAACCACCCCCTTCAAAAAAAAGTATGAAAGTCCTCTTTCTGCGTTGATTTCGGAGATGGAGTAGGAGAAAAATCAAACAGTTCCTCTGAAGGATCTCGTGTTTCTTTAGGGAGATCCTTGTTACCTTTGGTACTGCCGACCTTGACAACAGTACTTTTGGGCTGATTTCAAAGGCTAGGGGCAGGTGGAACATACTCATTGTCAGAAGGATCATTGATGGGATGCTTTTCAGGTGGCGACGTGCGTGACACGTATGGTCGGATGTAGCTGACATGGATTACGTCAGGTTAGGTTGGATTCTCATCGTCGCGAACTCTGACGACTACAGGATTGACGACGTCAATCACTGTATATGGTCCCTTAAATTTTGGGCTCCACTTACGACCGACATATGTAGCCTGTTGATGTATTCTAATCCATACCTTATCACCCACCTGGTATTCTTTTCCTTTTTGATGTAGATTGAGTCTTTCCAAATAGGAAGCTTGACCCTTTCTAATGGCTTCAATAGCCTTCTTTCTGACCTCAGACAAATGATTTTGTTTGTCTTTGTAATATTCCTGGACATTGGATAGGTCTTTTTTGTTCCATGATGTTGGAATCCAATTTGTTCTTGGTTTTACCCCTGTAACAATTTCAAAAGGAGAGGCTTGGAGAGCCTCATGTTTGGAGGAGTTATGGACCCATGCTGCAAATTTCAGCAGCTCATCCCAAGTTTGTCTGTTTTCTGGATCAAGATACATGGCCAGATATTCATGTAATTCCCTGTGGGCCCTTTCATTCTGACCGTTTCCTTGGGGCATGTAGGCAGTTGTAGTATGTGCCCTGGACCCCAAAAACCTTGCCATATCCCTAAAAACTTCGCTGATGAAGTTTGTCCCCCTGTCAGTTAGGATCCTCTTTGGTGCTCCAAATAGACAAACCCAGTCGCTTATGAATAAGCGGGCGGTAGTCTGAGCAGAGGCATCTCTCATTGGAGAGAATACAATCCATCTGGAGAGGCGATCTTGAATAACCAAGACGTATCTCATTCCGGATTGACTGCTGGGAACTGGACCCACTACATCAATGCTGATGTCTTCGAAACATTCCGAAGGGATCCCTGTGGACAAGTAAGGTGTTTTATGTGAATAGTTTTTGTTGGCTTGGCAAGTTTTGCATGACCTGATGTAATCAGCCACGTCTTTCTCTAGATTGGGCCAATATAATTCGTTCCTGATCGCGTAAACAGTTCGGTCTACCCCGCAATGACCCTTCGACGGAGGATCATGATGTATCCGAATGATCTCATTTCTGAGACTAGGGGGGACCCAGATCTTTCTAGAATTATTTTCATCTCGATACACCAGTCCATCTTCCATGGTATAATTGTCTCCATTAGGAATTGTATGGCATCTGCGCGTCTGTTGTTGCAGCAATTCCCTTGAAATAAATGGGATCATTTGATCCGTTTGAAGAGCAGGAGACAGATAGGCACAGATTTTTGCTTTTGGTGGATACCTGGATAGAGCATCTGCGTGTGGGATTTGCAGGCCCTTTTTATATTCCACAGTATAATCATACTCATTAAGAGTAGTAAACCAGGTTATTGCCCTTCTGCTATCATTTTGTCTCTGCCTACTTAAATAAGGGATAGCTATATGGTCAGTTTTGATGACAAATTTATGACCCCAAAGATAGGACTTAAATTGGTTGACACCATAAAACACAGCCAAGATTTCTCTGTCTGTGTTAGGGTATCTGGACTCAGCATCATTTAAAGTCCTGGAAGCACACCCAATCAGTACTTCCTTTTTGCCTAACTTTTGAGTCAAAACTGCACCCACAGCTAAAGCTGAAGCATCAGTAGTAAGAATAAATTCCTTGGAGAAATCAGGAAAAGATAAAACAGGTGCTGTCAAAAGACACATTTGCAGATCTTGCATGGATTTTTGCTGGGCCTCAGTCCAATTGAATTGGACATCTTTTTTCAGCAAATTATATAGAGGCCTTGCCCTGATGGCAAAATCCTTAATATAAGACCTGAAATATCCAACCAGGCCTAGAAAAGCCTGGATCCCTTTGACATCTTTTGGGATTGGAAAATGCTTGACAGCCTCAACTTTGGTCGGATTGACCTTGATTCCTTCTTGACTAATTAAAAAGCCAAGATACTCTATCTGAGTTCTGAAAAGCTGGCATTTGCTGAATTTCACCTTCAGTCCAGCATTTGACAACCTCTTGAAAATATCTTCAAGATGCTTGAGATGTTGATTAGCATCTTTTGAATAGACAACAATGTCATCTATATAGATGTAGGCATAAATGCCTAAACAGCCATCCAAAACCAAATGCATGAGTCTCTGAAAGACTGATGGGCTGTTCTTCAGGCCCATGGGCAAACGAATAAATTCATAATGCCCCATTGG